GGAAACCTCTATTGGTGGCTGGCTTACAGAGTGGAGCCCTTGTGGTGGGGTTAGAGCCCTCACGAGAAGGGATGGAGAAGAGTCTGTTTGTTCTTTGTCCTACTTTCCATCACATGAGGATCCAAGTAACCGTCCTGAGCCAGAAGGGTTCCCTCACCAAGAGTTACCCACGCTGGCACCCTAACCTTAGGGACGGGCAGCCTGTGATGTGCAACGTCCCTGCCTTGCCTGGTGTTTGTGTAATTTTGTTTGTGCCCCAGCCCTTTTTTTTATTTCTCATGGATTTCATGATTAGTCTGTCATGCGTCATGAGAAGTCCCATGGGGAGTCATGTAGAAATTCCATTGACATTGTAGATTAATTTGCTGAGAAGCGATCAATAGTAACATGGAATCTTTTTATTCAGCATGTATATGGTATAGATTTCCATTGGTCAGTCTCTGTATGATTTTTATGTTTGCCTTAATTCTTTAATGCCACTGTAACAAAATACCCAAGACTGGATAATTTATAACAAGAATTGATTTTCCCAAAGCTCTGGAGAACTCAAAGTTCTCCAGATCTACAAGATCAAAGTCTTACCAAGCTTGGTATCAGGTGAGGGGAAATCCCTGCTTCAAAGACTGTACCCAGAATGTGGCGTCTGGGGGGGAGGGTCACATGGTGGTATGGACAGAATCGTTCCACCTTTATAAAGTGCTCGTCTGCCTTCATGGCCTCTTCCTCTCCAGGCGGCTCAGGTCTTAATCTTCACTCTGGTGATTAAGCTTCAGTTTGTGAATTTGGAGAGCACATTCTGACCATAAGGATATTGTCTGTGAAAGGAGTGGCTTATTTCTCCTAAGTGTATTCTTAGGCTTTGACTGTTATTATAAATAGAACCAGTTTATTTTCTGTCACATTTCTGTCACATTTTCTAGTCTTTTTGTTTCGCTTTGGAGACAGAGCCTCATGTATCCCAAGCTGCCTTCAAACTTCCCATACACACAAGGATGACCTCTGACTTCTGATCCTCCTGCCTTCCCCTCCCCAGTGCTAGCATTACAGTTGTGCACCCTCAAGCCAGGTTTGTGCGTCACTGGGGATCTAGCCCAGCACCTTATGCGTGTTAGCAAGTGCTCTACCAAGAGAGCTGTGCCTCTCAACCCTCTACTATGTTCTCAAATGTTATTAGAAGTGCACAGGAATAGTAATCATTTTTTTGTTTTGTTTTTTGTTTTTTGAGACAGGGTTTCTCTGTGTAGCCCTGGCTGTCCTGGAACTCACTCTGTAGACCAGGCTGGCCTCGAACTCAGAAATCCGCCTGCCTCTGCCTCCCAAGTGCTGAGATTAAAGGCATGTGCCACCACCGCCCGGCTAGTAATCATTTTTTAAAGATTATTTTATTATTTACTTGTGTCTGGCTATGTGGATATGCACATGTGTGTGATCTTGGAATCGGCTGTTTGATCCTCTGGAGCTGGAGTTACAAGCAGTGGTGAGCTGCCTGGTGTGGATGCTGAGAATTGAACTCTGGTCTTTGCAAACGAAGCGAGTCCTCTTAACAACTAAGCTGTCTCTCCAGCCCCTGTGGGATGCAAATCGTTTTTAATTTGATCTTCAATACAACAAGCTTGCTAACTCTCTCACTAGTCCTAATAATTTATGTATTTGATGATTTCTCTCTTCTACAGTGCAATCATATTGTCTGCAAACATGGGTAGTTTTTCCTCTCCGATTTTTAAAATTTATCACCTTATCTCCTTCTATTATAGGTTGGATCATATAAATTGCTGATTTGGGCAACTTGTGACCTAAAAAAAAATGGCAATTTCACTTAGTTTAACTCTACACATTTCCTAAGATCTCCAGTGCAGGCCTAAATAAAAGCAGTGATGGATGGAAGTAGCCTGCCTGCGGCTGCCTCGGATGGAAAATGCTCATACAGTTTCCCCCTTTACCATTCTGCAGGCTTATTGGGTTAAGGATGCGGTGTGCTAAGGGTTGTGTCGGGTGCATATTTAATTTGCGAAGGTTGCATATTACATTAATAAGTTACCTGACTGGATTGGTCCTTGTGTTCTTGGGAGAAAGCCCACATTTCGATGATATATTATTTTTCCTGTGTGCACTGCTGTGCTTGACTTGGTTTTATTTTATTTAGAATTTTAGAATCTGTGTTCATAATAGACAATAACAGCTAACATTTATTAAGTTTTATGTGTTCCGGGCCTATTAGGCAGCATTAAGGTACTTTCCATGACTTATTTCCTCTCTTCCTTAGAAGGCCTCCTGAGGAAGCTAGTTCCTCTTTTTAAATATGAAGAAAGGAAGGGCAGAGAGAAGGAAATCGCTTCTTCAAGATCACACAGGAGATCAGTTATCTGAATCAGGAGATCACACAGTCCCCTGGGTTAGAGACCCATCAGGCTGACTGGTCTATGGTGTACTTTTCTAATATGTTCTTGTTCCAGCTCAATGCCAAGGTTATGTTACCCCCTAAAACAGTTGTTCTTGACTTGTGAGTCACGGCTCCTTAGGGGTCGAGTGCCCCTTTCACAGGACTCACCTAAGATCATCAGAAAACACAGGTATGAAGTAGCAACAAAAATAGTTTTATGATCGGGGTTACCATGAGGAACTGAATTAAATGGTTGAAGTGTTAGGAAGGTTGAGAACCGCTGGCCTAGAAGGTAACTGGATAGAAAATCTGTGTCTGACGAGATGACCCAGTATGAGCGCTTGCTGCAGAAGCTTGAGGACCTGAGTTTGAGTCTTCAGCACCCATGTTAACATCTGGGTGTGGTCACATGATCCTGTAACCACAGCTCTGTGGAGCTTGCTGGCCACCAGCCAGCTCCAGGAACAGTTTGAGACCCTGACTCAAAGGAATACAGTAGAGAGTTTATAGAGCAGGACTTGAATGCCTCCTCTGGCTTCCATGTTGGTGCATGGTAGCATGTGTGTGTAACTGCACACGCATGTCTGCATGTACCTCATGGGAGCGTTGACTCCTTTTCAGGTTCCTGAAGAAATATCTTGTCTGGAATGAATTCACTGGTTTTTATTTTATTGTCTGTCTGATTGCTTAATTTATTTGCAGCTCATGGTTTGTAGGCACATTTTACTGTTTTAAATCTGAGATTATAGGAAAACTATAAGTACCATACAAAGAACTTATTTCGTCGTGTCATTAAAAAAATTACAAGTTTTTTTTTTTTTTTGACTAACAAATGAAAATCAGCTACTGAATCACATGTGTAAGAAATCCTAAGCCGGGCGGTGGTGGTGCACGCCTTTAATCCCAGCACTTGGGAGGCAGAGGCAGGCAGATTTCTGAGTTCGAGGCCAGCCTGGTCTACAGAGTGAGTTCCAGGACAACCAGGGCTATACAGAGAAACCCTGTCTCGAAAAACCAAAAAAAAAAATAAATAAATAAATCATACGACAGTATGTTTCCTGACTAAAAGGCTTCAACTTTTTAAGAAAGTTTATATTTTGTGTCTTTTAAATGTTATATATATATATATATAATTTAAAAAATAGGTTTGAGCTGGGTATAGTGGCACATGCCTTTAATCCCAGCACTTAGGAGATAGAGGCAGGTAGAACACTGTGAGTTTGAGGCTATCCTAGCCTACATAGCAAGTTCCAGGGCAGCCAGGGCTACATAGTGAGACTTTGTCTCAAAAAAAAAAAAATGTTCACTGAGATTGTCATGCATATGTATATAAAATGCTTTGATCATTGACCACACTCTCCCAGTTACTCTCTTTTGTCTCCTTCCCCTCACCTCTGGTCCTTTTTCTTTCTCCAGAATCCTCAATTTGTTCTCTCTCTCCCTGCCTCTACTTACCCCTGATCCTGTGACCCTTCAGACATGATACAGCATACCTTAGACAGCCAGGACTGCAAACAACTATCAGCAAGCAAGCTCTTCCTACCCCAACCCCCATCATCCTGTCAAGGACTGGGGTGCTCTCTGGCTTTAAGCAAGTGTCTGTTAGTTCCCTTTATGTGAAAGGACCTACCATTGCCATTAGCTTCCAGAGCCCCACAGTCACAAGCTTTCTACCTCTCTTTCCTGGTTTGGGTTCAGGGAGATAATGAACTTATTTTCAGTCCTTATATCTGTGGGTTCACTTTATGAATCTGAACTGTTATTGCCATAGTTTATAGAGCAGAGGATGTCCTCAGACCTAACCTAGGAACCATTCCTAAGGCAGTTAGTTCATCATTGACTTTTGTGCTTGTTGGTTTGCTTTTGTTTTTAAACCCCTGTGCCAACATGTCGGATTATAGCAAGAAGACACTGGGGAAAGCAACTGGGCCTGTCTTTTTTTTTTTTTTTTGGTTAGGACCAGAAGTCGTCCCTTCTCTGGGCCAAGCTCTGTTCACTTTGACCCCTGAAGCTGCTGGGTGCCTCTTGGTTGTCCCAGGTGCAGGACTGGGACAACCAGCCTCCCCACCTGAGAGACTCTCTTGACTGGAGCTTGGGGTCCCCTTCTGGCACTGACACCTACCTGTTTTGAGTTGTCCTCTAACTCTAGATTCTGACTGAAACTTAGCGCGGGCCACCTAGGAGTGGGGAGGTTGCAGTTTGCTCCTCTCAGCCACTTAAGCTGCCTGGGGTAAGCCAGGCTAAGATGGGTGAGGGGGACGCAGCCTGCCCTCTCAGACCCTCCCTTACCCTGTAACTCCACCCCTTCCCCAGTCCCCAAGACGAATGAGTCAAGAGCTAGTCCACCCTCCCGAATGCCACGCACTACCCGGCTCCTGAGTGTGGGAAAGTCTCGGGACCATCATCCATAGCCACAGGTTCCCCCTAGACACACCCTGCTCCGGGTCTACCCCAAACTCCGGTTCAGTCCTCTGAGTGGGCCGGACCCACTGCAGCTTTCCAGGTGGGGAGCACGGGCTCCATCGGGTCCTAGTGCCGCCGAGCACAGAGAGACGGCCAACTGGGACAGACGCTCACTCGCGGTTCCAGCGTGGGGTGACCGGCAGCCACCCGCCCGGCCATGAGGGGTACACCCCTGCTCCTCGTCTCTCTGTTCGTTCTGCTTCAGCGTGGTGAGTTCTTTTTAGAGACGGTGGGAGGGACAAGGGTCGCAGTGTGGGAGGAGTGGCCGGACCAGCTGGGGAGTGGGCGGGGCAAGCCCTATGGGGATGCAGGCTGGCTTGGGTGGGTGGCCTGTGAGGTTTGGGGTCCCTGCTACCTTCTTCCATGCTGCCAGGTCACCATCAGTGGCAACGAGTGTCTTCAAACTGGGCAGTCTGGCTTAGTCCTGGAGCTAAGAGGTCCCCAAAGGGTCCTCAGAGGCTCTTTTTGTCTCTAGTGAAGTGATGGACTTGCGTATGAGGAAACCTGCTGTTTGGAAAGAGAGAGAGGTCACCGCGACACTACCATCCCATACGTGGGAAGTATTTTTGCACTTTGGGGGCGGGTCTTCCAGATATCACATATATGGCGGGCACTGCCATGGCTGGTCCCCCTAACCCTGCTTAGCTGAGGGCAGGTTGATGAACTGGGGTCTGCATCTCACACATTTACTATTGACACTGAAGAGACTCACTCAGCTCTCTTCCCCAGGTTCATTCAGACATGGGGGTTTCTTCCAGGCTCAGCTGCTCCCCCCTAAATTCCAAGGTCCTTCGTAGCTTCTATCCCCCAACCACCCCAAGTTGTGTGCACACCAGCTTGTCCTCTGAGCTCCAATGGACCCAGAGAACCAAGACTTCATTCTCCTCCCATAAAGACCACCTCCAGAAAGTGCTAGAATTGGAAGTGGTGGGACATTCAAGGTCCCCTTTTCTAATCAAAGTTATGTTGGCACAGTATGCGCTATGACTTTGGGTCACTGCTGGGTGACCCTATTCCATTACCATCTCTCAATCTCCCTGTCTGATCCATGGCAACAATCTGCCATGCCTGTCATCTGGCAAACTCTTGCAAAATCTCCGACGTATGGTTCCACTAGGCTGTCTGCACTTTCCTCTACAGACTTCTGAACCCCAGCCTAGCCTCAGGGAATCTGAACCTCTAGAAATGGAACCTGGGGGTCTGCCTTTATATAGCCAGGTGATTCCAACCTGTGATTGGAGAAGCACTGCTAGCGTTTGGTGAGTTCCTTCTAAGCGTTCTGAGTTTCTAAGATGCTCACAGCTACTCTTTAATGAACACACATCTGCATCTCACAATGAGCACACATCTGCATCTCACAGGCACTTCCTCCACTAAGCACACGCCCTCACCTGATAAGACCTGCCCTTCAGATACACACTTGCCAATGAGATTCTGTTAACCATTGCATCCCCAGACAATAAAATAGCTCACCATTTCTAGATTGGATATGCTTTCTCAGACTGGACATGCACACAAACACTCACAATTCCACTATGGTCTCCTATCAGACTCTTAACCTTTCACTCTTTCTTCAAGGGAACACTGTTGCCAAGGAAAATCTCCAAAGACAAGACCTTGTGCAGGGTCCAATGGGGCGCTGGGTTTCCTCAGCAACGTTGTATCATGATGACCTCTAGTGGTGGCTTCTCTGCTTAACTGTGTAAAAGTTTGAGTCAGTGAAAGCCCTCGGGTGAACATTCTGATCTGTTACTTGTCTTTTGGATCTGACAGGCTCTGGAAAACATTAGGAGTAGATGGCAGAGCCTACATGTGCTCTTTGGAGGTGAAAAGAGGGGGTGCATTTCAGCCAAACAGCCCTGCTGTTCATTTCACATCTCCGCCCCATCCACAGACATGCTAACAAGCCCAGGCACAAGTGATAGCCCCAGCAGGGCAAGTTCTCTTCAGAGGCAAGTTAGCAGGGGTATTAAACAAGTACAGGGGGCAGGGAGGGCTTCTGTCTTAAAGAAACCCCTGGACCTGACTTTGTCTGACTTGCTAGAACCTAATGGTCTAGGGCAGTTGTTCTCAACTTTCCTAATGCTGTGACCTTTTAATACAATTCCCCATGTTGTGGTGACCCCCAGCCATAAAATTACTTCATTGCTACTTCATAACTGTAATTTTGCTATCATTATGAATTAGAATGTAAATATCTAATATGTAGGATGTCGAATATGTGACCCTTTAAGGAGTTATGACCCAAAGGTTGAGAACCACTGGTCTTGGGGAATTCTGGAGTCCATATTTGGTCTGTGAGGTGGGGAGAGTCCCTTAGGTCAGATAAATATTAAAGAAGACAAGCTGAAGGTGACAAAGCTTCGTACCCTAGGTGGGCTCAGAGCTCAAGGTCAAAGCCCCCCTCCTACCCGCTGAACAGCCTAGAACCTGTAGTCCAGCCAGACTAGCCTCCTGGGGCAGCAGAGATAGAGCCAGCCTCCCCTGTAACTATAGGACTGGAGGCTGGGTGCTGCAGAGCTTACCCCGGTGCTGCTACAGACTGCCAGATAGATCTTTGACAAGCTAGATTCATCTCTATGAACTGAGAGGTCAGCTCGAATAAACAAATATTGTGAGAGGAACCTAAATTTATCCTTTGGCTACAGATAGGCCTCGAGGGTATTTAAGCTGGTGGTCTGTGGAGAGGGAATTCAAGGTGTGAGGAGCCAAGCTCAGAGTCTAGTCCATGCATCTGCTGGACAGCCCTCCCTCCCACCCTACCCCCAACCCTCCCACCCTACCCCCAACCCTCCCACCCTACCCCCAACCCTCCCACCCTACCCCCAACCCAGCGCGGGGGAGGGGCAGCGGGCAGCAGGTGTGCCTGGGGCATCTTTCTCAAGGCACTAAATATTGCATCTGTTCTAGATAGGCAGCCAGTTGGAAAGTGCACGGAGTAGGCAGGGCAGCGGCTGCTCACCATGGACACGTGGCCAGCCCAGCCCAGCTCCCACCCTGAAGTCTGCTTCACCTTTGCTAGATTGGTGTGATTCATAGTCTAAAGTATTCGGCTCCGTCCACAGAGGAGGGAGTTTGGTGAGATGTGGAGGCTCTTTAGGAAAGCTATGACCAGACTCGTGGGCTTGGTAAGATGTCAGCCGCTCGCCAGCATCCCTACCCTGGCCTGTCTAGTTTTCTCCTCTTTTAGCCTGCTACCTGCTCTCCTTCCCTGACAGTGTTTCTTCTGACCAGCCTCATCCCTTTTCCTGCTCCTGGGCATGCAGATCTTGTGCCCTTGCTCGTCCTTCGAGTCTCCTCTTCATGTCCCATTCTCTATTCTCCACAGTCTCCTCAATGACATCACAGTACACAGTCCAGTCTTTAAACTTCACCTTTACATCATTCCCAACACAAGACAGATGAAACAAAGACCCAGATACCACTTGGCAAGGAGTCTTGGATGCGCAGGAGGGACAGATCTTGGGCTGTGAGTGCTCGGAGGGATGATGGCTGTCTGGGGCTCCCTGCAAGATCCTGTGCTGGAGCTGGTCCTCCATGTGGCTTAGAGCCAAGAGCTCTGTCTTACCAGAAACCAGCTGCCAGCTGGACTACTCCATTTGATGTCTCAAAGACCTTGGGTTCTGTAGGTCAAAGTCTGCATCCAAGAAAGCCTCTCCTAGAATAACCCTGATTCCTTTTCTCGTTATTTTATTTGTGTGTGTGTTATGTGTGCATGTGTGTAGTGTAGCAAGTGCATATAGGTGTTTTTCCTTGAGCACTCTTTATTTTTTCAGGTAGGCTCTCTCAGTGTACCCTAAGCTTACTAATGTGGGCTAGGCTGGCCCGCCGGTAACATTCAGGGATATGCTTATCTCTGCCCACCTCCCCACAAGCTACAAAGGTTTTCGTGGGTGTTTTAGGGATCCAAGCTCAGACCCTCCTGCCTGCATGGCAGGCAGTTTACTGGCATCCATCTTCTTCAGCTCCCCACCCTCGGTTTGGCTTTTTGTTGTTGTTTTTCGAGACAGGGTTTCTCTGTGTATCCCTGGCTGTCCTGGAACTCACTCTGTAGACCAGGCTGGCCTCGAACTCAGAAATCTGCCTGCCTCTGCCTCCCAAGCGCTGGGATTAAAGACGTGTGCCACCACTGTCCGGCTTTTTTTTCCCCCTCTAGGAAAACACTACCACACATCCAGTTCTATTTAGGAGCCCACATTTCAGGCCCTGATGGAGGTGCCCATGTGCCTCCCCCATGGGCCAGGAACTGCTCCTGGGGGTTGCTGTTGTCCTCAGCACACAGCACAGCACCGGGCACAGACGCCACTCAGACATTGGTCAGCTGGTGGGCTGGGAACAATCCTGGTGAAAGAAAGAGTACGCTCAAACCAGGAAGTGAGATGGGAAAGAGGCGAGCAGTGTGTGGCCAGAGAAGAGTCTGGGGTCAGTCGAGGGGAAAAGTAAGAGAGATATATAAGGTTTGAAAGAGAAGCCATTGTTAAGGGGTAAAAGGTCTGGACTGCCAAGTCAAAGCATTACTAGTGAAACTCTGATCTCAGAGAGGCTGTAGGCGGGCGGGGCTTCCCACAGAGTGCTCCGGGAAGATTACCTGGCTCTGTAGGAGTAGCTGGGGCGGGTGGGAATGGATAGTCCAGGGCAGGAGAGGTAAAGGAAGGCTTAGCTAAAGGGTGGAAACGGGAGGACAAACTAGAGGAGTTGGGAAGTGGAACAGACAGGTCTCAGTGGCCGGGGTACGTTGGGGGTGGGGCAGGAGGAGGGAAGAACAGATGCCCAAGGTTCGAACAGGATGTTGCAGCATTGGAACAGCATTTGCTGCCAGGAAGAGCACGAGGAAGAGGTCTACCCAAAAGAAAAGAGTGACAGAGGCAAGCCTGTTGGCATTCCCCATCCCCGCACAGTCTCACCTCCGCACAGCCTCACGCCCAATGCCTTACACCCTACACAGCCCCACCCCCGCATAGCCTCACCCCCAGTGCCTCACACCCTATACACCCCCATCCCCGCTCCACCTCTCCCCCAACCCCCACCCCCGCAAGCACAGCCCCAGGGCTCTCGCACTCACAGCCCACCTCTTCACTGCCACAGCCACAGTGGGGTTTCTCCGGACAAGGGCCCAGCAGGTCTGACTGTGCGATTCCCCAGGGGACTGCCGCCTGGCTAACGCAGAGGAGAAGCTGATGGATGACCTCCTGAACAAAACCCGCTACAACAACCTGATCCGCCCAGCCACCAGCACCTCTCAGCTCATCTCCATCCGCCTGGAGCTCTTACTGTCCCAGCTCATCAGTGTGGTAGGTGCCTGGACCACTGTGGCCTGAGGCTTAGAAGAGGCAGGACTTTTCCCAGTTCCTGGCCTCGGGAAGAGAAGTGGATGGCTGTTCAGGGTGCAGGGCTGGGAATTAAGTGACAAACACGTTACATCTGATCTTGCCAGATGGGTAACACTCCAGACTGCTAAACTTTTCTTCTACTATTTCTTAAAACGTATATTAATACATATGTTTGATGGACACACAGTAATTTTCTTTTGTGGAATGCTGTGTGACATTGCACTCGTGTGTAGAACTATCCAGTCAATTAGTCTCAACCACTGGGACCAACTGCTATGCAGCTCCACCCTTCCTCATCTGTCATTCCTCACAGCCTTTTGTAAACAAATGTTCACTACTTGTCACACAGGCCTTTCCCCCATGTCTAGACAATTTACCTAAACTGTGAGGATGCTAATCATGCTTCCAGGTTAGGATTCTTTCATCCAAAAATGTATTACCTGTGCCTATATGCATGCTGTTCTCTCTGTCTGGGGTGTTCTACCCTCTCTGTGCACCTCTGATTCATAGTTAGCCATCTGAAAACCCATGCTCTCATGTTCCATTTAGCAACGGAATATCGAACGGAGAGTGGCTACAACAAAAGGGTCATCCATCATGTCACATGACCGGGAGCAGGTCAGTGCTTGCAGGGTCGCCTAACTCCATAATTCAGTGGTGTCAGGACTCTAGGGCGTGGCCAGAGATGCAAGTGGCTGTGTGAAATCTTTTGGATTGCTTTTGGAACAACTAGAGACTCACATCCAAGCGTAACCAATCATTGGCCAGAGGAGTAGAATTACTCTGGCTGCTTTAGATCTGTCAGGGTATGGCAAGGAGACTGGAGAAAGTCCATGAGGTTCAGTTATGTAAGAGGAAGGGTCCAGGAGGACCATGAGGCAGACATCCTATGGACCCCCTCGAGGCCTCTTTCAGCTGGGTCTCCAACAGTCACAACTCCCAACTTGCTTAGAGACAGCCTCCATATTGGCAATTTGGTGGGGAAAATAGGAACCAGGCCAGGAGAAATGATGGGTACAGAGGCTCAGGCCTGTGGATGAAGGTCTGGACAGGCAGGGAAGGTTCGACAGGTGTGGAGAGGAGGGTGACAGCATTCCAGTGTTTCAAGCTGGATGTGAGGCAATAGGAGATCTGAGGAAGGCAGACCAATCAGAATGTCCTCCCTTGTTCTCACAGCTGTCTCAGTGTGGGATTGTCTGAAGGCACCACAGTCCTTTGTAAACCTTCCCATGTCTCTACCAAAGGGTTAACCCTTGCCCCAGGAAACCACTCAGGAGAAGTGATCACATGGGCATGTGTCCAGCCATCAGGTGTTAGCTGAGGGAGATAGGCCTCCTCTGAATGGTGTCACCTTCTCTTGACAGCCCCATGAGGCCTACAGGTTCAGCATCTCCCATCTTTACTGCTCAAGAAGGGTTTGCCCATATTGGCAGCTGCCTCTATCCCCTAGGAGGGAGCCTAGCACCAGAGTGGGGAGAGGCACACAGCCCTGCCTCTGCCCTTTCCCTTCCACGAGAAGCTGAAAACAATGAGGGTTTCTGGCCAGGCCAAGCAAGACTACTGTCTGAGCATCCCTGACCTGCTTAATTAGCAAGCCAGCCGCCTGCCCTGGCAAGGGTGGACAGACTGGCAGCTCTGGCCATGCTGCCTGACTCAGGCTGTCCCTGCCAGATCTGAGCTGTGGGTCCTATGGAGCTATAGAGGCTTCCAGAAGCAGGAGAGAACACAGCCAGCAGCTTCACTTCAGCAAATGCTCCTATGGGTTGTCATAGTCCCAAAGGCAAAATCTTTGGCTTCTATGGGGAGGGTTCCTTTCTGGTTTGGGGGAAGGTATTTGGTTTTGAGGAGTGTGTGTTAGGGGCACAGCCAGTTTAAAGATGGAATGTCTAGGGAACAGACTAGGAGTTTGTGCTTGAGGGACAAGCAAGCTTTCCCATCATTCTCTTTGAGGAGTGACAGCCAAGGTCCTATACCAATCGTCTGATACATTTGGCAGTCATTAGTGGAATAGAGAAAAATAAGAGGCAGGAGAAATGCACAGGAGAAATTTCTGAAAGCTAGAAAAGTCTCTTATCTTTTTGTTTGTTTATTTTATTTTATTTTATTTTAATTTTATTTATTTTTTGTTTTAGAGGCAGGGTTTCTCTGTGTAGTCCTGGCTGTCATGGAACTCACTCTGTAGACCAGGCTGACCTTGGACTCTAAGGTCTGCCTGCTTCTGCTTCCTGAGTATTGGGATTAAAGGTAGACAACCCCACTACCCAGCTAAAATCTCCCATATCTGAAAATGCAGAGGCTGAGGAGACAGCTCAGTGGACAAAGCTCGTTTCCTGTCATATGAGGACCAGACTATGGATCTCCAGAGCCCATTTAAAACCTAGGTAGATATGGTGTCCATCTGCAAATCAAGGACTCAGGAGGCAGAGGCAGAGGGTCCCCAGGGCAAGCTGGCTCTGTAGAATAACTGGAATCGGTGAGCTCCAGGTTCAGCAAGAGACCCTGCCTCAATACGGAGAGAACAATCGAAGATGACACTCGCCCTCAGCTTTGACGCCTGCGTGTGCACCTGTACACCTGTGCACCCTCACATGCACACACGAAAACTGCATTTGTGGAAACTGGCCAGGCAGTATACCCGACACCAGTACGGCTCACTATGGAACGCATGAGTCCATTTAAAACAGTGTCTTGTTAAAGACAGGGTCTAGCTATGTAGACCTACCTGTCCTTTAACTCAAGAGCCTCCTGCCTCAGCTCTGCAGATGCTGGGATTATAGAGAGGCACTATCACCTCTTGCTTAAAACCATTTTTAAAAGATACATCGAGGTTTTCAGCTTTCATTGATGGCAGAGATGCTGGAAGATTAGCTTTTCTGGGGAACAATTAGAAGGGCTGGACAAAATGCTGGAAAGCAGGGAGGACTCTATTTTAGGGCAATTGGGGCTTCTGCCAGGACTTGAACAGCCAGGCTCCCAGAGGCGACCCTGACAACCCATGGTACTTTTTCCCACACTTGATAGCTGGCCAACAGTATCTGCCCAAGAAGCTAAGACCTGGAACAGAGTGGCAGCTGGGGAGCTGGGGAGCTGGGGAGCTGGGGAGTTGGGGAGCTGGCTGGTGCCAGGGCCATCCCAGGGCTGAAAGCATGCTGAGTGGCAACCTGGGTCTCACCAAGGACATAGTACTCTCGTGGGGCTTCTAGAAGGGTCACTCCAGTGCTGAAAATGAACAACAGTAGACCAGCCCTCACAAAAAAACAGGGTGTTCTCTCCAAACCAGCTCAGCCCCAGACTTGATTAAGATGGCCCTCTGCACTGTGCCTGTGGAGGGAGGTGCAGTCAGATGGAACTTGGTGAGTGTAGGGGTGGGGAGGCTGTCCGGTCAGTATGACAGTCGGCACAACTAGCATGAAGACCTCCGTTCAGATCCTTAGCACCCTGTAAGCAGTCCTCTGACCTCTGCACTCAAAGAGTAGCATGTGCGTGTATGAGCATGCACACAAATACATGAATGTGGTAAAAAAAAATTAAACATTGAAGTTTTATGCTGAGTATATTTTGCCACAATTCAAAATAAAAATCTTTTCTTAAAATGAAAATAGCTGTCATTAATATATTTAAGGAAATGATAATGGAAAATTTCTTTAGAGAGCTTGGAATTTTTAAAAAGAACCAATGGTCTGATTGGTCTGATTTCTAGAACTCAAATATATCAAAACTTTAAAACTCACTGGAGCTGGGCAGTGGTGGTGCACGCCTTTAATCCCAGTGCTTGGGAGGCAGAGACAGGTGGATTTCTGAGTTCGAGGCCAGCCTGGTCTACAGAGTGAGTTCCAGGACAGCCAGGGCTACAGAGAAACCCTGTCTCGAAAAAACAAAAAACAAAAATAAAAACACAAAAAACAGACAAACAAAAAAATCCTCACTGGAAAAAGATAAATGAGACAGCCAGCATTCATCTTTCCTCCTACTCTTCCCTTCATAACAGCCTGGGTTGTGGGTGTGATGCTTGGAGCCCAGGGACCATCTTGAACCAGGTACATGAACCATCTAGTGTGGCAGCCAAGAGAGCTGGAGAGGATCCAGATGGGCTTGTAGAGTGAACATCTGTATATGCACAAAATGTCACACGCAGGTCAATTTTGTCCTACTGATATAGTTACCTGGTTGAATTGTTCAAGGAAATAAGTACCAGGCTGGAATCAGAATGCTGGGAATTAGTTTATAAAGAGGAAGCAGAGAGCACAAAATACATTCAAAGAAATAAGGAAGGCCGAGAGGGCTGGGGGCACAGAGTATAGGAGCCCAGGGCAGTAAAATGAGGCTGGGGGAGTTACCAGTTGAACCCTATAGAAGAAAGGAGGCCTAAGTAGACATAAGATTGAGGAGAAATGGCAGGAACTTTAGAAAACTCAATCTTCCTGCAGAAGAAAATAGATTGGTGTACGTGTGTGTGTATGTGTGTGTGTGCACGTGTGTGTGTGTGTGTGTGAGATGCAGAATGGATTTAGACCAGTTGGATTGTGCAAGGTGGTCCAGGTGTGGGTACTAGTCTGAGTTATGATACTAGGATTAATTTATTCATCCAAAAATATTCATCAGGCATCTAACCTATCCCTGTTGCTCTATTTTTTTTCTTTTCAGGGTCCTTGGATCCTAGTGAGAGATAGGGACAGACACAAAACTATAGTGTCCACAGGTATAACTGTTATGAAGACACTATAGAACGTGTATGGTGAAGGGGGCAGGGTGCTATTTAATATAGGAAGGTTGGAGATTTCTCTGATAAGGTGACATTTCTGAGGGGTGAAAAAAAGTTAAGTCAAAACTGCGTGAGTTTCCAGGGAAAGAGAGCATATACAGAAGTGAAGAAGCAAACATGGCCACTGTGGGGTTTGTAAATGCAGATGCAGGCATAGCTAAGGCCACAAGGCCCTGAGGAGGGAGGACGTTGGCTTTTGCTCTGAGAGAGCTTGGGAAATGCTAGACGGTTTAAACAGAACCATGGTCTAAGGACCTGAGGTTCTAAAGACAACCAAAATGTCAGCTTTGAAGCTCCCGAGTTGTCCAAGGGACAGAGAGAAGTGATAACAGACAGGGAGAGAAACAGTCGATTCTGAGATGTAAGAGATGCACCTGAGAGTGCTGGATAGACCAGGTTTAATGTGTCAGAACTTCCAGGGTCAGTTGTTGTTGTTGTGAGTGGGAAATCGTGACCTGTGTCTCTGATGAGCTGGTGTGAAATATGTTTGAGTTACCTAATATGGTTTGAATGTCAGTGGCCTCCACAGACAGGCTCATGTGTAAGAGTACGTGGTCTCCAGCTGGCGACACTCTCCTGAGAAGCTGTAGAATGTTTAAATAGTAAGGCCTGGCTGTCAGAAGTAAGCCACTGAGGGTGAGCTCATGGCTTATGACATTTTAACCTGGCTTCCACTGTAGGTGTGAATACTTGCTATCCATCTGCAACTACACCGTGACCAGCCAGCCGCAAGTTTTCACACCAAAGCCAAAGCCCCAGCTACCCTGTATCCCTTGCCATGAAACTGTGAGCCAGATCACTCCTTTCTTCCCCGTTAGTCACTTGTCAAGCATTTGGTTGCAGGGATGAACAAAATACTTAATATGGAAATTGAGAATGAGAAGCGGGGTCATTACTGAGGTAAACCTGTCCCAGATGTGTGTGGTTCAAAACTCGTGCGGGGCACGGGGAACGGGTCAGGGCACGCCCAGGCCCCTCGACTGACGCAGTCCCTGGGGAGCTGCGGTGTAGTCTGCAGTCCCTGGGGCTTAGCGGGCCCCAGACGCTTGCCTGCTACAGCAGCGGCTGGAGGTGGGGGAGGCTTTCCCCGGCGCAAGTTTCCCACTTACACAAAGAGAGTCCCGAGTCCCAGGAGACATGTGGAATCGAAGATATGGAAGTTTTATTGACCATGATGATGTATCTGAATGGTGTGCTCTCCCACAAAATGCCAGGAGGGGCTCCCTTATATTGGGGAGTGGGGGGGGTGGAGAAAGGAGGGGCTAGGGCCTTTAGGTAATATGTAAATCTTGAGGCAGAGACCTGTTTCACGCCCTCTACCTGTGCCTTACGTGACCCACTGCATTTAGGTCTCTGAGTTCTGGGGGTGTGGCCAAACACCCCAGGATCTCTACAGCTCCACAGATGTGCATAAGGCCTTGGAACTGAGTTATACAGGGAATTGGGGGCAGATACAGCTAAAGAACCAGGGAAGTCCTAGCATGCTATAACCAGAGTTTAATGGATCATTTTGATAAGCTTTGTGAAAGACTAAGACATGGGGGGGGGGGGGGCGGGGACAGGAAAGAATAGGCTCATGAGATTACAGAAAGGTGTATTCTAGAAAAAACAAATCTGGTTCTGTTCTACCTACGCCCTAACAATTTGGATGTAGCTAAATTAAAAGATAATGGACTAAGTTGCTTGGGGAGAGGAAACATTAAGACAGTATAACTTTCGTGTTTGGCATGGTTATTGCTTAGTGTGTTTCGCAGGCTTTACAGTAGAAATTGGAGCCAGGAAGGTATAAAGAACGTATACTTTGGAAAAGAATGCAGATGTGACTAAAGTTGAGGATGGATGGGGTTGCAGACAAACTGGCTATGGCTGCTAAAAAAAAAAAAAAAATGTTAGTGTGATCTAAGAGAAACCAGGCTCTATGCTCTGTGCTCTGGGATAAAAGGAGAGGAGCCCTGAGAGGAACAAGACTCCACCTGGATACTGAAGGCTTCCGTAAGTGAGAGGGCCTGAACTGGAAGTGCTGCTGTTAGGGTTTCCAGCTCAAACCCATCACCACTAGGAGTGTCTTCAGGGTCAGCCATGAGGGTGCAGAGAGCCGGGAGCAGCTGTGTTAGGAGGGACCTTCTCAAGCGGGCAGCAGAATTTGGCACTTTGCACTTGCTCCTGGTTTGTCAGGTGTGGAAGATGCAGGAGTACCAGGATTGTGGAACGTCTTTCAAGGCTTCAGAAAGCCACCGAAGCAGTGTGTGACATGACTGGATTCTCTGCAAGGAGTCCCTAAGAAGCCACGGCATGAAACTGGGAAAGCAAAGATTAAGGTGCAGTGGCGCCCCCAAGATTTAGGAGATGTAGAAACCGTGGAATGTTCACCAAGGAAAACTGCAGGCAACTGAGTGTAGCCAACCCAGGCAGTACAGCTTCTGTTGCCCAGATGAAGCCACCGAGGCCCCCACATGCTGGACGTGGAGCTGCAGCGTTTTGGGTTTTCCCTGACAGGTTTCAGTCTTGCTTTGATCCAGTCTTTTATGATTTATTTTTTATTTTGTGCACATGGGTATTTTTGTCTTATTGTTTGTATGAGCACCAGATAAGTGCAGTATACATAGAGGCCAGAAAAGAGCATGGAATCCTCTGGAACTGGAGTTACTGGTGGTTTCGAGTCGCCATGTAGGTGCTGGAAACCTCCACAAGAGCAGCCACTGCTCTTAACCGTTGAGCCATCTCTCCAGCCCCTCTGGTCCCATCTGTCCTTGCTGTGTTCCCATATGTCTCTCAGTTTATGTTATTCTGCATCAGAACTAACTTACCTTTTGGCTTTACAGGGAGTCACTGATAAAAGAATGTCTGGAATCTTAGAAAAGACTTCAGACTTTTACAATGTTGGAACCGTAAGACTACAGCTTTTGGATGTTGGATTAAATGCATCTTGCACTATAAAATGCCCAGGAGCCTGTGGGGACCTGGTATTGTTTGTATTTTGATGTAAATCTGCTCTCCTAGGAGGGGCTGCAGACAAGGAGTGAGTCACATACTCAAGTGACTTCTTGTGAACCAATCCCCTAATGAATAAAGGAGCCAATCACTGGGCAAGTAGGAGGGACTTCTGGGTTGGATAGGGGAAGAGAGGAAGAAGAGAGAGAGAGGGTCTCTATTTTTGAACAGGGACAGTGTGAGGACAAGATGTAGCTACTAGTGTCTCCTGGTTTCTATGGCGGATCCACCAGGACTCACCATTGGAGGATTTAGATTTAATACAGATACAAGATTAGGATTCTTGTTGTGCCCAGAGATTGAGTTACCATTGTTTCTAAACTAAGTTTGTGTGCTGTTTTCCTTCCCACGGCGGTTCTGCTGGGTTCCAGGGAGACAGACATGGTGGCAATGCTTTGCTAGATGTGCACTGATGGAAGGGAC